TCTGATGGAACAAGTATGTCAGCAGCAATGTAAGTTGGAATTATATCCATTTTAAATAGTTATTCACTGAATATTAGAAATCGAACTTTAGGATTTCTTAATCCTCTTCTTTATAAAATGGCGAGAGAGTGTAAGAAGTGTTTCAAAGATATTACAGTTGGAGATAATCGATGTACTTCAGATCTTTGCAAGAAGGAGTATAAGGGTTTTCGAGCGAGAAGAGGATGGGATCCGGTAACGAGACTTTGGAAGTCCCCGGATGAACCATCAGGTACGTTTTTTATTCTCAGTAACTTTGCATTGTACACATTAGACGATCAAGTGCTCTCTCCAACCTATGTCAAATTGACTAAAAGTTAGATGTTGTATGCAGAATTTCACGATGAATCTGACAATGGAGTCCATTTCATGTCATTTCGACTTCTTGATGATGTCGATACATAGGATGACGTATATAAAAATTCTTTCGAAGCTTCGTTTTTCAAAGGAATATAATATATTTACGTATCCTTCCAATGTCAATTTTTCGACATATTAGTGTTTCAATCAGAAAAACGGCGTAGCATACGCGAAAAGGAAAATAAATATCACTATCATCTTATATTCGGCAATAATTTCTTTCCGTCGAAAGGCAGAAAATCAGAAAGTCAGGAAAGAGCCTATACGAGTACATGATGGTGTACTTACACACTTTCTGGTAGAGGCAGAAAGTCAGAAAAGACCCTTTGCGATTGTATACTGATATATATACATAGCTTTGAGCAGGGGTAGAGGTAGTCAGGAAAGTCAGAAAATCATGTGCAAATACCGAAAATGAACATTTTCGTGAAGAGAGGGGGAGATAAGCCTTTCTCATTGTCTTGTTTTCTACGTCACGTATATACTGATGTTAGTTGTATGGTGAGTATAAGCTTTCTGTGATTTGGGGCTAAGCTTTGCTCCAGCAGTTAGTGAAGATCAAGATTTTTTGCAAGAGGTAGAAAAGTGCAAACGCTTAGCGGTAGCATATAGTGTCCTTGTTATCGATGGTTTATCGAACTTTAAATGAAATATACTCGTTTCTTCGTTTTAATCTATGCAAAATTCTGAGAGTCGTATTTTTTTCCAGTCAGGTGTAGCGTTTTATGAAAAGCTCCTTTCGTATATTTCGATAAGATTTCCATTCTTTTTGTAAGATTTCCAGATTTTAGTTCTTTAGTATGGCAAAAGCGATCAGTCAGCCCAACAGTTCGTGCTCGGGCCGTTGCTTTGTACGCTTCTGGAACGAAAATTAGTACCATAGCCCGACAACTCAAAATCACTTTTAAATGTATCAAGAACATTACGGCTGATTTGAACAGTCAACAAGGTCTTGAAAAAACCGAGCAAGGTGAAATGTGGCTTGCTGGATATTTTTTCCGAAAACCAAGGGAAATTGTGATTTTAAAATCAACCGTTCCACTTCTGTAGTCATCGGACAGAGGTGGCGAAAATCTACTTTTGTAGGAAGTTCAATTCTCTATCAGAACCAACACGATTCGAAATTCGAAACTGAGATTTAAGATATAATGATGAAAAGGAACACGCAGCACTTTTAAATACAATCTCTATCTCCTTTGCAGTTTTAAAATGATTGTGATCCCCATCATCAATATGATCCCTGTGATCGCTATGATCGCTGTGGACAGGGCTCTCAGTATGCAATGTGACTAGGAACTTTTCTAGTAGCCATATTTTTTAGAATTTAGAAAATATATAATTTCGTAGCTTTTGAAAGGGTCTATCCAATGAGTAGTACTAGAATTTTGGTTATTTCAATTTTTACTACTAAATATTTGTTGAAAGGTAAAACAGACAATAAATATAGGACGTATATCAGCGATGCCTCCGGTTTTATTAGGCCTACTCTAGATAGTTATCATTTCAATTCTAACTTGCGTTATTCTAACAGTAAATATTACGTAGAGTTGATCCTTTAAATTTATGTGCAAAAGATTATCAGATCTGTATTATTGACAATCCTATGAGTCATCATCATCTATATTACCTTATATGGATGTTATGATAAAGGTCGTTTTCATGACTCATAAAGCTAATAGAATGTTATCGTACCCTATTTCAGTCGTTGTTATTGTGTGAAACAGATAGAAGAAAGAAAATCATGACTTTTTTATTACATGTCGAATTCGATGCAACTTCAGAGTCAACAGCAACAATGATCCTCGAATCTTTGGCTCGTATGGCTGATATTGTCCATCGTGATCATCCCACAGTATATACATATGTATTTCGACATGCCGATGAAACCAAAACAAAACTTATTTTTACTGAAATATATGCTGATGAACAGGTGTTTCTCGACCATGGACGTGATGCCGAGTTTGGTAGACTTTTACAAGGGGCTTTCGATACTACAACAGGTAAAAGCCGAAAAGAATTATGCATTCGAAGTGACATCAATAGTCCCTTATCACCAATAACTGCCAGTATACTCGATCATTATTTACATGTTACTTATATTCCTCTTCAACAAGGATTTTTTCATCGAAATTTAACTGAGAAAAGAGAAGTGGATCTTCTGATTTTATGTACCGGATGTGATCAAAATGTTTATGAACAATTGAATGTACTTGTTAGTTGTGTTACATGTGTCACATTTGAAGAATCCGATGGCAGTAGACAATTAATTGCTGTTATCACAAATATTTCCAGTGAGAAACGGTCGATGAAAGATAAGAAACCATCGATTGATGCGATCGAACTAGTTTGTTCGCATGAAGAAACTATTCGAAAATTCAAAGATATCATTGACAATTATTTCCAAGTTCAATCAATACATATTCAAACAAGTTTTAGTGGTTACATTCGTCATAAATCTTTGTCATAGTGGTTATCTTAATGCGAAAAAAAACTCTTGTTTAAATTTTTATTTGAATTTTTTCTAGCTGATTAACAAAAAATAAACTATTATCCATTTCAATGAACAATGGAGTCGGTTGTAAATTGAATAACTCCGGATAGGAAGCAGCTAGAGACCTACGGTTTTCATTGGATTTGAAATTCTAATGCAACCATTCGCTAGAGAAAATTGTTCTCTATTGATGTACACAAGGCCCAGCTCTTTAGCTTGTACTGTTCAGGAAATATAAGTAGTTTCCTGAGAGTCCCGATTTCGGCCAGCTGACCTTGGATCACTCCAAAAAACCTCGAAATATAGGTAATCGACCATGCTGAGTCGAGTGGTGATGTTTATTTTCAGTTTTGAAGTGAATTAATTCGCTAGATTAAACTTTTTTGATATATCGACTCAATACGCCGCATACACCCTAAAAAAAATCCGTACTTTAAAATACTCTAACCGTTTCGCATTTCCGCTTAGAAACGGAAAAAGATTTATTGATAGTTTTTATGAACGCTTAAGGGTTTATCAGAGATAGGGCTTCTTAACATAATTCTATTCCTTTCGAATTCTAAAAGAGCGTTTTTTATAAACCCACGAAGATATCGGAGTTGGATTAATAAACCGTGAGGGTATCCCACTTTGGATGAAAAATTCATAGGTTTTCTCGTAAACTCTTTTGGGTTTATTAATACACCCAAAAGGGCTTTTCTCGGTTGAAAACCCTACGGCAATTATCTTAAATAAAGGGGTTTATTGACATATGGAAAAACGTATTTTAAAAAATGGTTTCTTTGGGATGTGTCCCGTTTGTTGAAGTTGAAGCATTGAGCTACAGTTTTTTCTTAACCTACTCGAAGACGATTCAAAAATCGGGGTTTTTTCTCTTTATCATTAGAAAAATAAAGAAACAAGTTTTGGTTTGCTACTATTTGCAGAAAAATACGTTCAACTACAATGTAGAATACATTATGGCGCTATATTCGAAGTTCAACTACAACTCTATTGAAAAAATTGAATTATTCAAGTTATAAGTTCTAGTGAAGTTAAATCAGCAGTTTTTTTCAACTGTTGAGAATGAGAATACGTGGTATCTTCTCATTGATCGAAGGAGTAATACCAGCTAGTTTTCCAGTCCGTTGTGTCTATTAACTTTTATCTTATTATTAATAGATCAAGAGTCATGTCATGTTGTTTTCTGACTTAGTTAATTACTTAAAACGAGTATTTGTTGCAGGCAAAAAGACTCGCCGAATGTCTGATAGAAAGACGACTTTTTTCTTACTGTCACGGAGATCACGAAATAAAAATGATCTCTGATTAGTTTCTTAGAGTTTCCGATTCTTCGAAGTTCTGAACAATGCAGATAACTTCCCAGTACTCTCTCTGGCGCTTCTACAAAATAATCACATCTTATACTGTAGGCATACGGGGTTTGAGGCGTAACCATTCTGTAGAAGTACCTTGCTTGATACTAAACCTGACAGCACCACCTCACTGTTATTCTTCCGTTTCTGCAAAAAACTTCTGTTCTACCCTTCATCATTTGCTCTCATTCTAAAGTGAGCCGATTCGGATATGACGTCATCGTGCTACTTACAAGGAGCGTAATATTCAGGATTATTTATTTTCTCGGGAGAGCACTCAGCAAGTTACGTCTGCAGTAAAGTTGAATTCACTCTTTTTGCGGCTTACTTAACTGTGCTAACTTGTGTAAGCTTCTGCAATATTCAGTGATTAGAACAAAATTGCTGAACTTCTGCTTGCTTTTTGCTTTTTAGTGTTGGTTGTGTAAAGAGAATGACTATATCCCAATGGACAGTCGACGATGTGGTTGAATGGCTGAAAACGTTTATTAACGATGAATGCATTATAAAAAAATTCAAAGGTAAACCCACAATTATTTTTTCTTTCTCCCTTCCTAGCGTTAGACAAGTGTATTAAATCGCGTTAAAGTTTTTTCATTATTTTACTAAACCGTTCGATAATGACAACAAATGATTATAATTGTCCGTTCTGCAAAAATCGGGGACAATTCAATAATTTCAAAAATTACTTCAGACATATAACAAGGTATCATCATCATGAAGTTGATTTTCACATGACCTGTAATCTATCAGACATGTGTGGTATATCATACAGAACGTTTTCCGGCTATAAAACACACGTCCATCGTCATCATGCTCAATTATTACAGACAAACAGCATGAACATTTTTCCTAGTGATTACGATAATGCTGACGATCAAGTTGTATTTACAATGTCAAATGATGATGATCTCAATACATTGTATGGAATTGATGATGATTTAAGCGGTTCACTTTCGGATAACGACGACAGTGATGCTCATAAGAGAGACAAAATTACTCTGGATGATATTCAAAAGACGTATGCTAAATTTTTGCTCCAGGTGAGAGAAGAATTTATCCTGCCGCAAAAAGTGATCCAGTCAATATCCTCTAACATTGTTTCGCTATTCGATTCTGTAACAGAATTAATTATGCAAGAAACCGAAACTAATCAAAATCGAACAACAACAATCAAAAACAACCGAGCGTTTATTTCCAAAGCTTTCGTGTATAACATTATTCAAGAGGTCGTTCATGTAATAGATAAAACAACAAAAAATGAATGTGAGTATTTTGTTTACTTTACAATCGTTCTTTTGGATCGAAAATTACTGATAAGTTAGTTCCCTACTATCAGCTGTTTTCAGTCATTCTGCAAGTAACTAGCCAATTGCTTACCACTTTTTTTATGAATATTCTAGGCCAGTTTATCCGTTTATGTGAAAAATTCTTCAATTATTTGCCACCACAAGAAATTCAATTATCAAAATCAGGTGAAGAAAAGGAATTCGCTTATTATGTTCCAATAACACAATCGTTAACGTCTATGCTTAATAAAGAGGACATGATACCACTGCTTCAAAAGAATATTCAATGGCAGCAGCACCAAACGACTCTTGATAACGATCTAATGTATTCGTATCGTCATGGAAAAAACGGTCAGCATATCGACGATAACAGTTTCCTGATCCAACTGTACGTTGATGATATCGGTCTCACCAACCCCATCGGACCCAAAAAAGACCAGCATAAAATGACAATGTTTTACTTTCTCCTTGAAGATATACCTGATATGTTCAGATCACCGGTGCAATGCATCAACCTTGTTGGTATCTGCAATAGCAAGTATTTAAATGATCAGGAAAAATCTAGACAATTTTTTAAGCCGATTATTGATGATTTAAATGATTTTCAGACGAACGGGTTATTTATTCTAACATTTAACCGGGTATTACATTTCTCTTTCTCAACAATATCTGCGAATAATCTAGCAGCAAATGAAATCGGTGGATTCCAACGATCGTTCAGTACGGGCCATTTCTGCCGTCCCTGTTTATTATCGTATAATAATCGTGCTACACCATTAACCGATATAACTATCATTCAACGAAATGAAAATAAACATGAACAATATTTACAGCAGTTATCAAATGATCCGTACATTAGATCGATTTATGGTGTTGTTGGTCCAAGTGTATTTCAAGCCCTTCCAGGATTTCATTCAGTAAAATCCTTACCAGGAGATTTGATGCATGACTTTCTTGAAGGTGTTTGTCCAATTGTTATTATAGCAATGCTGAAAGAAGCCTCTTCTGAAAAACTTTTAACTTACGGTATGTTTGCTCTAGAAGTTCTGTCAACATTTTAATAGACTATAGTTTTTTTCTAGCTCAAATCCAAAAAACTATGCAAGAATTTGAATATGGATCGTTGGATTCATCGGATAAGCCACCAGTCATTCAAGTTAAACACCTGCACAACGGGGACATTGTGGGAAGTGCGTCTCAAAAATTTCTTCTCTTTCGATTGTTTCCAGTTATCTTTCACACAATAGTCGATAAACTAAAAACGTTCAAGGTATATATTCTGTTACGTGAAATGCTCGAAATGATTATGGCATCGCCGTGTCGACGAAGTTGGCTTCCGTACCTCCAAACGCTGTCCGTCGAATTTCAGTGTTTGATGGCTCGTTTGCTACCGGACCATATGATTCCAAAAATACATTTTGTTACTGAATATGCCAAAATCTGCGACGATAACGGGCCTCCGATGAAATTTTGGTGTATGCGTTATGAAGCCAAGCATTCGTATTTCAAACAAATAGCACTACGTGCGAAAAATTTCAAAAACCCACCAAAAATGCTGGCTACTCGGTATCAACTCAAACAATGTTTACTATTGTCAAAATGTAACTTTTTGAAAAATCATGAGGTGGGTAGTGGTCTTAAAATTATTAATATACAAGAACTAAACAGTGTTGTGAGAAGAATTTTATTGAATGCGTCTGGGATAGACCTATTGGAAAAAGAACTTCTTCAATGTACATCACTTTATTATGATCACGTGTGGTACAAACAAGCGGCTGCCTACGTCTATCAATTAGCCCACGTCGAAGAAATTCCGTTGTTTTTTCAAATTGCTTACATAATCAAGATACAGAAAAAGTGGATGTTAATTGTTGATCAATTAGTAACAAAACAATATGACAATAGTTTATGCTGTTGGCAATTAGAATCGCATGACAGTTTAGAATTAATATCACCAACTGACCTCGAATATTATCACAAAGGACTCGATATTTACGAAGTAAAAGATCGTTTTTACGTCAGCCTTTCAACCAAATAAAGGTGACTGAATGCTTGTAACACAGTTAATGCACTTGTCTGACTCTCTTCGCCTTTAAACCTGTTCTTTCGCAAATCCATACTCAGGAGTGTTGATAGCCGCTATATTATGTTTTTGTCCTTTTAGGCGAAGAAATTGATGGAGAGACGTTGATATTAATGAATGATATAAACAAAATCAAGGATTTAGTGCCAAAATACAAACACCAATTGCTCTTTATTCGTGAACATGAGAAATTGTTCAAAACTGTTGTTCTTGGTATTAGTGGCAGACAAAATGAAGCAGTTACGACGATGAATATGGACGAACATGTTTCAAATGAGCCATTATGTGATCGGAATGTACCATCGTCATCAACAGAAAACATTCCTCCGTCAAAATCGATGCAGAAAAAATTTCCTGAAACATACGAAGTTCCAGATTTGCCAGAAAATATTCAAATTTCATTGATCAAGGACAATTAGAAGGATTTGCAAATCACTGTGGTCACCGACATGTTCTAACTGACATTGTGTTTCATGATTTAACAACAAATTTTGGACTTTGGTATATAAGATGTGCCTAATAGAAAAGTAAATGTTTAATTAATGCTCTTCTTTTAAGTATCCTGATCGTCGTCAATATGAAGCCGTTTCATTTGCAATATTAAAAAAGCTCAAAGTAAATTATACAGGAAAAGCGGTATGTAAACAAATAAAGATATTCAATTCTCACAAAACTGTTAAATGCCTTTGTATTTAGAAAATATGGAAGGAGACAATACAGGCTAAATTTAAACGCCAGAGACGGCCATTGGCAGATATCAAACAGATGAAAGAAAAATTTTCTCGTCCAGACAATGGCCGACCTATTAAAAAGAAGACAATGATATTGGCAGAACGAGACTCAGAAAAGAAAGTGAGTTTTTTTAAGAACACAAGCTTCTTATAGGGCTGTAATATTTATTTTTAGGTACTTATTCAAAGTAGCAACACTGACGACGAAGGAGAGCAAGAAAAACGAGTACAGTTGATGAATGATGAATTAGAAAAAAGTGGTACCGATTGGAAAATGGTCTTGGAATTATGGCGATCAACATTAAAATCACGTCGAAAATTTGTGAATATAAATAGAACCGATGAAATATTGAAAAAATACCCTGGTTATAAAATACCAGTATTGGTAATCCTGAAGTAAAGTATTTCACAAACAGTACCACTTGTATTTTCTGTTCTCTAGATATTTGCGGAAATGGAAATGCTCATTGGTGTAACCATCGGAACAAAAGTGCGAAGTGATTTACCAGCCTTGTTAGAAAAATTATCTCCAAGTCCCGCGTTTGTGACTGGTGGGTGGAGAAGAAATCAGGAGAATTATTCAGTCTCTAATTTTTTTAGAAACCTTTTCTTTTCAGATCAATTGCCAATAAGAATTATCAAAGTCATTGCTCGTACATTTGACGAATCATGGCATCATACTATTCGCGTCAGTGTATGAATAAGTAGGACTGAAATATAGGTATATACGTGTAGAAAATAATGATCAATAAAATGAATTTAGTACGATTGTCATTAAATGTTATATTTATTATTTTGTATTTTTGAATAATGACGATGAACGGTTTTTTAACGAGGTGTGGTGTTGAATCGAAACGTTTTGGTGAGTGAGGACGCTCTGGATTACAAAATTTAAATAATGAATTTTGATGATTAATGAAATTGAAAAAATACTTGATAAAAAACATGTTCATCGTCATTATTCAAAAACACAAAATAATAAATATAACATTTAATAACAATCGTACCAAAGTAGTTTTATCTACCATTATTTTCTACACGTATATACCTATATTTCAATCCTACTTATTCACAAACACTGCGCCTATAATGTATTCCATAAGGAATTTTTCCTTTCAAGGCCCATTAACAGATAACTCGATCCTAGAACTGCCAAAAAGAGAAGGGAACGTTTTTCTCTATCTCGGCATCACTATCAAGCACAACGAAATTTTTTCAGCTATCAAATGTAGTCAAAAATATAATAATGGTCACACTAATAATATTTGATTTCTTTTAATTTTAAAAATATGCGAACATTTCGTGTACTTTACACTAGTATAAAAAATGGAAATGGATCTTCTCTGATTAATACAATTTTAGTTCGCGAAGTTGGTACAATAGAATTAAATTTACAGTGAATACTCCCTTCCTTCAATATATAAAAGATAAAGATTTGATGAAAATATAAAATTTGTTCTTCTCTTACTTTATTCTTTAAACAGCAAGAAACATTAGACTTTTTCTTATAGAAAAGTCTAAATAGTATCAGAGTAGAATAAATTGTAAAAGAAAAGTATTCGGGTTTTTGACAGATTAATAAAAGAATAATCTTCTGAAACATAGTGGTTAATTGTTTTTGAAGAAGTAATCAATCCAATTAGAAAAGAAAATGAAGTCCCTGTATAGTTTTGTACCAGCCATTTTGGCTATGTTGACCGGAATTACCCCAACGGCAACCGTTCACTGACCGGGGTAATTCCGGTCATTTAATACCAGCCGACTGGAAATTGACCAGAACTAATTATCTCTAATGAATCTAACATGATTTTTGCATCAGTCGACAGCTAAGAGTCAAATCTATCTACCTGTGCAAAACCGTTTTTTTCTGGTTAAAAATGACTTAGCTATGAGCAAAATACTGAAAAGATTTCTGAGATTGACCGGAATTACTCCGAGGCACTCTACACCATGATTGTTCGGAGACTCGTCACAGCTTAAAAAGGATATAAATTGGAAACTGAAGTCTTGTAGATGAACGTTTTCTATACCTATAAGTTTTTAAATCTCGGTGTTTCTCGCTAGAAACAAACGGTTTTGCACGCCTCAAGAGATCCGGAGCATCCAGCTAAATGCTGTACGGAATCTTCATCAGATTTTGTAGAATAGGATAGATTCTAGCCAGAAGACTTATAGATATCGAAAAAGTTCACCTCTGAGACTTCAGCTTTCCAGTACTCGTAGCGTTGACTTTTCCGAACAGGCCTTGATTCTGTTCTTCGAGTAGCATATACACATTTTCTCCTGCCTTCCTTCATGTATTTGTATAGACGTGGTCTGAGTAGAAACAGAAAATACACGTCGTGTTCTTGTTTAGAATTTTTTCCACATGTAAAAATAGCTTCAAAAATCAGAAAAGAGTTAACATGAATAGCATTTTTAGAATTTATGGATAAAGTTAAAAATAAGAATTTAAGAATAATTGCGGTTATCATGTTAAGTATTTTAATAAAAGTTTTATTTTCGTGTTTTAATTCGGGCTAGTGACTCTACCGAAGAAAAAATAAGGATATAGAAATATGTTTAAATATCGCTACTGATTCGGTTCACCTCTAGTATAAAAGTATAAACTATTAGTCATATTAAATGTGATTTTATAGTGCGGAAAAAAAAACCCATGTAAGAAGAGAAAAACACTTTTCTGCTTCAGTACAAGCAAATGTAGGTCTACAAAAGTTATACGAACACTTGAATAACTTGAATGATAACTTATTCAAAGTTGTTGCAACTAATATTCTCAAATAAAGGGTTAAGCATTGCGCTCAGGGAATTAGTTTTTTAATTAATTAATCTTGATTAAATGTTTAATTAAGAGCTAAATAATTTTTTCATGGTCAGATCCAGAATATTACTCAGCTATGTAAAAAAAGTATATTTTAACTTTTTTCAGAACTCGTTATGAAGTAAAGAGAATCATCAAAAGAAGTCAATGAAAAAGTCCGTTCTTATTAGGCACATTGTCTATGTCTGCGTGATATTCGAACGAAAACAAAATGTGTATCAAATAAGAAATCGTCCTCTTTTAGTACATAAGGACGTATACAGAAAATAGAAACGAATCGTCTAAATACGATATTGTGTGGCATGACATGTGACAATAGAAAAACCTTCTTCTGATATAAGTGTGAGTGATAACTCAAAGTACATAGCAGTTTAAAGAGAGTGGACAAATATGATGTACTTATTTTGAGGTCAATATCTGGTGAAATGAATTGCATCATGTTCTCGAAGAGGCAGACGGATAAAACATGGTGAAATTAGTGTCCGACTGCCTCGAGAATAGCTCTTTCGAAGAGAGCCTTCTCGATCCTGAAATTTGTGTCTTTTCCTCTTCTTTGACTCAAGCTGAAATCTTGCACAAGAAGCAAGATTTCTTAAGGAAAAAATAAAATTTCGTCTTTCTTCAGGTGAAGATCGTGATAAGAATGTGTTAAAAGAAAGCTTTCACTACTTTGAAAATTTTGAGGATTTCATAGAGATTACATTAGCGTACTCGACTTCATACATATAAAATCCTCAACTACTGTGATATCAAAATCAAAAATGGAGAATTAATTTATAAACTTAATAAATCATTTTTTATTTTCTCGTTATTTATTTTTGATCCATGTCCCTTTTGTTGCATTTTATCGTCTTTCGCAGAAATATTTCACTGAAAGATTAGTTCGACGTCCTTCACAAGGTCTAACGTTAGCGAGAGCAAACAAGATCACAGGCAGCGAAGAAAAAAATGGTAATCTCCTTGACTGAGAAAATAAACAAAACTCCTGCTTTACGTTTATTTAAAAAGATTTTCTATAGAAATTAAAAATTAATAACAAAAAGTAAAAAGCGTTTTTGCAGAAGTCTAAACAAATTCTCAAACTTTCGAAGCGACCGAGTGAATGTTTATCGTCTAATCTACATTTCTGGAAGCACTTGTTCACATTCTTCCTTTCGGAACTTTATACTTTTGAAAAACTGCAGTAATAAATTATTAACCTTATCACAGGATGTTTTACCCGGTTTTTTCTCAGGAACATGATGGATGCAGAAAGGTGATGATTTGAAATTGATGTTTATTCGTCTTAAATTTGAGGCTCATTTATTATTTGGCGAGTTTGGTGGTAGAATAAATTTTTCATTTTTCAGCAATGATTTACACTAAAACATCTTTTTATTGTACATAGACATTTATGTCGACGCTTGATTACATGATGTTCTCGAAGAAAAGTCCGAGCAAAACACGATGCAATTATTGTTGTAAATGAATCCCAAATAAACGGAAAACACGTGCTAAATTATGACTTTCTTCCAGCAAGATTTCTTGCTCGAGCGTATACTCACGCGTTAATTCAGGTATTTCGCAGGAATAACAATTTCGTGTTTAAAGAAAGTTAGCTAGTTATTATGATTCTATTTCATATTAGGCGCCGTTTCTATAATCCACGCGCGCTGATTTTTAATTAGCGTAGCAAGAGCTTTTTTTAATCCGCTTTGCGCTTATTCTACGCACCGAAGTATACTAAATTCAATTTTAATGTTTGCAGCTGAAGAAGTATATAGTTTAATTTCGCTAAAATTTGCTGTATACGTTACGGTGCGGTGGAAGTCTGTCAGTGTAACTATTGGCTCTTATGGTACCAATGAGAGTGTTGCTATGGGCCCATAAAAATGAATTTTCTTAAAAATCCTGAAATTTTTCGATTAAAAAATGGTTTAACTAAACTTTCACGATCATCAGAGTATATAACTTAGATTATATGACCAAAAGGAAATCGAGTAAAAACACTCGTCTCACAAACTGTTTTTTTTCATATGATGGCCATTCCGATTGTTTTACAGTAAACACTATCCCAGGTGAAATACATCTTACAAGACCATACAAGATCTGCCGTTTGCTAGTGAAATCTTGTAACAAGATCTTACTGCATGATCTTACAAGATCTTGTCTTAGGATGTTGTAAGATCCTGCGGAATCTTGTAACTTCTTATCATAAGATCTTATGTGATCAACTCATAAGACGTGACAAGATCTTGCAACACGAAAGCGTATGATCTTACAAGATCTTGTCATTGAGGGACGTGACTTGTATTTATTTCGTCTTCATGCATCAGCTGAGCGCAAATAAAGTGCATGACTATAAGGAACGTGGTTAAACACGATCCTAAGGACGTTTGTGTCCTACCTATGCCAGAAAATATTATGAATAGAGAAAGATACTTTTTTAGGAGGGTCTATAGTCTTTGTCTTGCCAATAAAAATAGCCCGAGACGTTATTTCCTTCGTTGGTATTGCAGTGTTTTTAACCATGATATTTACAATTACCTATACATCAAAATAAAAACTGAAGTATACTTGTACATATATCTACATCTAGCGCTTTTTCTTTCTTATGTTCCGTGAAATGACAAATCAACATTGGCATTTTCTCTTCAGGATCTTCAGGACGCAGCTGAAAAGAGAAAAGAACATGACAATAACTTCGACTTGCTACACATAAAATCTGATTATAGTCAAAATCATTGATAATAAACGTGAAAAAGCTGTATACTGTGATTGTTTCTGTTATCTAACGGGATATACTATTACATAGCAACTAGTGGTACTTATGATTGATAAAGACTGGTGATGAGTTCAAATTATTGATTTGTTTGTCGTATTTGTTTGCGCCATGGTTG